CTGCCGCCTGCAGACTGTTGTTATGCTAATTAATTCTGCTTTTACACCAACGCACAGCTAATGATGACATTTAATGTTGTTTATCCACATTAGCAGCACAGCTCCAGTTATTCCCAGCAGAAAAAACACATGGTTTGGAGGAGAGCCAGAGACTTTTATTTTGAAACTCTTCTCCTATCAAGAAGAGATTTTTACTCGGTTATTCTTCGAGTGGTGCTGAAGAAAAGCTTGAAACAGGAGGAAGTGCTGACGTGTTTTTGTGCAGCGGAGCCTGGAAGTCTGTCCGAGGGGAGCAGATAGATGGTGGTGACATTTTAAAGATTAAAGTGATTATTGATTCACTGCAGTAAAACAAACCTCCATCCTGTGCTCAGCTCGTTGCTGCTGTTCATCTGGTGTGCGTCTGAGTGGAAGTGAAGTGAAGTCATTTTCCTGTTTGGCCTCTAATCGGCCTGCGGATGCTCACAGAGAGAGAACGTAAACTTAAAAATCTGTTTCCATAAAATCGAAACAAACTAAAGCAGTAAAAGAAGTTATCTTGTAAACTCTTTGTCTCCTAAAGTTTTGCTGATCGAAAAAAAAATCAGAAAATGTCACAAACTAACAAAATTATTTAATTAGACAGCTTTTCCTGATAGGATAGTCCAGATAACATCCACAGTCCCAGCTGAGAATTATAAACCTCTCCAGCTTGTCCTGGTCTACCCCGAGGACTCCTGCTAGCCTGAAGCAGTTCATGCAGGATGGATCCTAATCAGAGGTCTGAACCCTCCTCAAGCAGCTTCTCTCGATGCGGGGGAGAAACAGCTGTGCGCTCAGTCCCTCCCAAGTGACTGAGCTCCTCACCCGTCTCTTAGGCTACGTTCACACTGCAGGTCTTAATGCTCAATTCCGATTTTTTCATCAAATCCGATTTTTTTGCCTTTCACCTCACTTCCTGTTTTCTCAGCAGTTACATGAAGGAAAAGAAACCTTCAAAACATTGTTTTCTTAATTTAAAAATTAAGGAGAATATTTTGACAGCTTCAGCAGTTTATTCTTAGCAGATGCAGGAATTCCTAAGAAAACCTGACATGTGGATGTAGGCGAGGGTTTAAAATGATAAAAGAAACACACAGACCGTTGTTCATTTAAGTAAAGGCCGAATTACCTACAAATCTACTTTTCTGTGTCTGTAAATATAAAAGATATTGATTTCTTAGATGATGTAGTCACAATAACTTAATAAACTTTTAATATTTACTATATTCATTCCTGAGATTCTCACTCCAGAACTTTACGACCTTAAAAACATAAAATTCT